AAAAAAAAAAAATGTAAATATATAATTGTATTACGTAGTATATAGTATAACAATACGTAAAAACAATTTCCGGTAAACGAGCCCAGAATTTGTATTTAATTTAGTGATTCCTAAAAACGACAAAAACTGTAATTTTAGTTAAACAAAACAACTATTATCTCAGAATTTCCATTGAAAATGTAAATATCAATTAAAACATTGCGGGCGGGCTGACAAATATGAATATCCGGTGAATCATCGTTCCTTACAAGAATGGCCAAAAGGTTAATAAAAATTAAGCAGGCAATTAAACACAGTCCATTGTGTCTTAATTCAATCATCSAAAAACACGAGGTACCATAATGAAGATGAAAAACACCCCAAGGCATAGGTTATTTCGTATATTCATTAATTTAAAAGAATTTAAACGTCAATGTCATAGTTTGGTTAATACTGGATGTAGATTTAAAAAAAAAAAATAGTTAATTAAGGCCTTTCATATAATTATTGATTAGTAATTATTATTGAAAGATGAAGCTATTATAGTTGAGCATAATACTATAAAAACTATATTATGTACCTACCTATATACAATAAACATATTATTATATCATTTCATATAACCTAATACATCTTACCTAGGTACAGTCGAAATTGATTATTTAAACATTTGATCATTTGCTATCTATGTACCTATACGCGATTATCATTATCATATTATGAATACTCTGTAATGTGATAATAATTTTATTGTTAAGATCAACTAGATTTGATATGCCACTAAAAACAACTATTTGGTTTCTACAGTTTAATTATTTTTTAGTTCAGTATTAATTATATTATAATAAATCGATCAAACATAATAAATATTGGATTTTATATTTTCGTTGTTTAACACTCAATATAAAAAAATTACACCTGTAAAACACAAATCTAGCTGAAAAAGTTGGATGTTGAATTATTTAAAACTTTCTAAAATGTATCAATAAGTAATTTTTWAAATATGTGTTTTTTTAATGCGAATATTTGGATTWTAATATTATATATGTATTGTGGACTGCCATATACAATAGCATACTATTGTAGTGTATTTCTAAACTTTTTAACATTAAATCATCTTTTTCAGAGTATAAAATTCTTCKGTACTCAAAATAAACGCAAATRAGTAAAATATGGTAAATTTCTTATAAAGTTATAAAAATATAAAGTTTATTAAATTTTATTCCATTGATACTTAATATTATATTAGAGACCCGAGGCTATTGAAAGGACTTTGAAAATTACATATTCAAATCAACAAATTGTACTAATGTTTACAATTTTAAAATAGATTCATCTAAATAATGTAACGTCGTACATACAAACACACTGATTTAATAATCCTAATTCGTATTGAATAATATTATATTCTACCTAGTAATAGTATTTATTATTGTTTTTTTTT